ACACCCTGAAGCACGGGGAGCTGCGACGCTCATGCATGGTGGCAAAGGCAGGTTTTCCAGATGCTGACATTCACTCGGAAGCTCACATTTTCTCCCGGCAACAAACGGGCATTGCCACATGATCTCCTTGAAGCGACAGCTCACTTCGTTCATTTTCAAGAAAATGTCTGCCAAGTTCTCGAGCCTGGCTGTCCAGAACTGGCCTCTTCCAGTCCAGCTGCGTCCGTGAAAGCAGCGGCCGCCGGTTTAGCCTGCACCACTCCCAAACCCACGCTCCACCGCACCCAGCAGGAGGGCTGTTGTGCAAAGCCACAGCACAGAGGACCGAAAGGGCTGTGTACTGAAGAGCCACAATTTAATAAAACAAATGACTTTCACCGCTTTTTCAAGGGCACTCTCAAGTTCACTGCGGTCACCCAGTGAGAAACAATAACCACTGGCACGGCTGGCGCCGCCGTCTGGCAGGCCCGGGCTCTGGCAGCTCACCACCGCCACTTTTGCAGACCTCAGCGCCGCAGGGGATGCCAGTGGTGTCTTCAGTTATTATGAAAACAGTGTTGGGGAGTCCCTGGAAAGGTCAGGGAGCACCCACAACCACGGAGCATACTGCGACCAAGGCTGAGCCACCCCCAGCATCGTTCTGTCTGGTCTGCATGCCCACCACTGCCAAGGGTTCCTCCAAGGGCTTCTGTTCCGGACCCCTACCTCTCAGTGTGAGCTCTGCAGTCTGACACTGTGATGGTTTTGTTTGGTTTGTTGTTTGTTTTGGGGTGGTTTTTTTCTTACCTAGGCTTCGCTTCCCGATTCTACCTCCTCTCATGGCTAGCTGTGTAATTTATGTCACTTTAGGGAAGCCATTTAATTAAAACCACAGTTTCCTCATCAGCCACTTGGAGATAATGACCCTGAACTAACTTACGGTGCTACTGAGTCTTAAAAGACACAACCTGTGTGAAAGCCCTTTGTAAACTGTTCAGTTTTTCATTAGTACATTTTTATTGAATCCCCGCTATGTGCCAAGCACTGTCCTACGCACGCGTATAAGCAAGGTCCTAGCTTTATGATACAAAGCTCAGTTCTGGGGTGGGTACATAAAGAAAAAGATCAGAGAAATGAAGGGTGACGGTGAGCGCGTGGGCAGTAGCTCCAGGCCGGCAGCCCATGAAGCAGAAAAGGCAGGTGGGCTGGCTCAGGAAGCTGTGGGCGAGGGTGAGGAGCCGCCTTCTCCTCCAGCGCCCAGTGGGGCAGGAAGGAAGCAGTGGGAATTGCTTCGCACTTTTAAAAGACCCCTCTGGCCACTCGGAGCAGAAGAGTGGACGTGGGAGACCAGTCAGGACCCGACTGCAGTCATCCAGACAGAAGACGGCAGTTGCCTCGACAGCAGTGGAGGCGAAAGGAGGCGGCGGCCGCATCGCAGGCAGACGGGCTTTGGGGGCAAAGTTGACAGGTTCTACTGACGAACTGGACGGGCGAAGAGGAGAGGAAGAGGAAAGAGTTAAGGACAGCTCTGGGTTTACAGCTCGAACAAGCGAGTGGCTGGTGGTGGCATCAGGCGGGGCTCCAGGGGCAGGCAGGTCAGAGCGAAGGCTGGGCTTAGAGGGTCGCTGGCACGTAGGTGAGCCGAGAAGAGGAAGGGGTCTGAGGCCAAGTCCGGCTGGGCTGACCTCCGCACTTGGCTGTCAAACTGCAAAGGCGCCTGTCTGGAGAGGGACTAGAGAGCTCAGGGGAAGACCTAGAGCTTCCGGAAGGCACAGAGGAAGAAGGCCCCTGTGGGAGGCTGCGGGCCGTCCCACAAGCTAAGGACCAAGACGTGACCTTTCCACTTCACACGTCAGGGCCGAGTGCAGGGCAGTGTCAGCGCCCGGGGAGAGCCTCGCTGGAGGAGGCGGAGAGGATGGATGCACAGCAGCAAAGGGGAGGAACTCAGGTTATACAGTGATACTATGTACCCATTTACCGTCCCTGCCTAGGTTAATGTATCTTCTCAGCTTCCTCCAGGGCTTTTCCAAAGCAAGGACGGAGGGCAGAGACTGGTCTGCAGAGCCGCCTTGTCACCTCACAGCTCCATCGCCTGGCACGTGGGTACACTGTGAGCTGTCATTCAGAGCAAGAGCTCGCAGGCTTCCCGATTCCAGCCCACGTTTGTGGCAAAAGATCCACCTGAGACCACGTATCCCCACATGACCTCTTTCCGGTGGGGAACACGGGCTCTGTGATAACTATGAAGTATCACAGGAAACCACAAACGGGGAGATACATGCGTATGTGTTTTAGCCATAGGTCTATGAATGATTCATTTTGAACTGAAATTCATATAAGCCTAGTTTTTTTAAAATAACAAACCACAAATGCTCTTGGTGCATATATTTATCACTCACTATACAGAGAATTAACCAAACAACAACCCAATTTGATAATAATAGTATTAAACTAACAGAAACTTAGTAATTAGAATGTAATCATAGCAGCATTTGAAAACTAGGACTGATTCAAAACAGACTGTGGGGATCCCGACTGAGAGTGGCCACGTCTGTAGCTCTGTAAGAATGCCAAACGTTCAGTGGCAGAAAACTTTTTGGAGTCGGCAGTCAACTTTAGTAAAGACGTCAGGTGGTTAGAGCGCAGGCTCATAACACCAAGGTTGCCGGTTTGATTTCCACATGGGCCAAGGAGCTGCGCCCTCCACAACTAGATTGAAACAACTACTTGACTTGGAGCTGATGGGTCCTGGAAAAACACACTGTTCCCCAATAAAATTTCTAAAACAACGACGTCAATTTTAGGACTCCTCAGCAGCTCCATTGAACAGGGCCCCAGTAAGTAATCGCTAATACGTATACAAAATACAAGTCCATGGAATTACACACCGGTCACAGGAAGAAGCAAAGCCTGAGTCCGCACTTAGGGCAGTCAGTGGCCATGTCTGTGCAGGTCCTCGCACAAGACAACGAGGCCCACGGTGGGTGCCACACAGCGGTGCTCTCCGGACTGCCGGAGGCCACCTCGGGCACAGTCTGGCCTGGGAGCCTGTGTGCTCAGGAGCCCGAGGAGAACGGGCTGCCTGCAGCTGCCGTAAGAGACAAGACATCACACACGGGTAACCCCCAAATGGACTGCTTCATGTTTGGTAATGTCTGAATTAGTGCCAATATTTTAAAGTGGAAGGCTTCACATTTAAGGGGGAAAAAATGTTTTCTGACTTCTAAAAAAAAAAGGAAAGAGAAAGGGAGGGTTGTGGCCAGGGCCCAGCTGCCCCTTTAGCTGCAGCTGCACGTGTTCTTCCAAGCCCCATTCTTCCACCCTCCAGAAAAATCAGACACAAGTCCAACGTCAGCTGCCATTTCTCTTTGAACCTGTGCCATTATTCTTCTTAAGAACTGGCCTGTTTCACTCATTTATGCGACCTTCCAAGTCTTATCATCATTTGAATTTGCAACCTCTGTCCTCCTAGGATGTGCTGAAAGGTCCCATCAGGGTCTAACCAGTGGAAAGAGACAACAGGGCTGGTAAGATGCCAAGCTCTCACAAACTTACTAAAACTGTTAGCAGCTGATGTCCTTCTTCATTGAACAATTTGCAAATGTCAGATAAGGTAAACTTTCTCACCTGGCTGTTTTCTGAGTAGCAATCTCAGTAATTACTCAGAATCACAGAACTTGTCTTTCTCCTAATAACCTATGAAGAGCTTATCACAGAATGTTGATCACTCACAAATTTAATGTTTTAATTAAAAGGTCAAAAATATACCCACTAATCAGTTTTGAATAGTTTGAGCATGGGTTTAGGATAGCAGACGAAACCACATTTCAAAAGGAAAAAAAAAATGCCCTCCAAATAAAATGAAAAAAAAAAAAAGCGATTAGACAGTAACTTTAAAATAAACTTTTTATATATGCAGAGATCACAAAAGCTTTGAACTATATTTTTAGTACTAAAGATGTCAGTAAGACAAGCTTTATACAATCTCTTCCGATAACTATTTTACTCCTTACACTACTTTTGGATGAAACAAATTTCCCTAACCTTTTAAAAGTAAGCCAAATCAATAACTGAAGCACTGGTTACTTGTGGCTGACTAGGGTTAGTTACTCAGGGTGATCTCACACATGCTCAACATCGCATACTAAAAACAACAAATCATCTTATATAAACATATTCATAAGCCCAAAGCAATCACACTGTATTGTAACACCAACTACCCCTCTTATACCACCAAAATGTTCAAATAAATACAGTCCTGAGGGAGACAATAAATCACAAAAAGACGAATGATAAGTGTGCATAGATGAGTCAATCCCACACACTTGCTTTGGAGACCACCAGGAAACACTCCAACACCATGGGGAGCCTCCTAACTCCTGGGCCCAAGCTCCAATCCCTCATACTCTAATCCCTCCGTTGGAGAAACTCTGTCTCCAAATTACAGCAACATGACACCACATAAAAGAAGCAAAGTCTGTATTCAAGACACATGGTTTAGAAGGCTCTGATGAAGTTCATTGTAACTTTAAAATAACTGCATTAACTTGTTACTAGATGAACATTTGCCAGTAATCATGTTTCCTAGTATGCTATGTTAAGCTTCTGGACTTGATTGGACAAAAAAAGTAAACTAACCACAAAAGATTAACCACATGGGTACAAGTAGTATATCTGAAGTTGTCCTTCCTCTAAGAACAGCGCTAAGCATATCAAAGCGTGTGTAAATATTTGCAAAATGCTCTATTTTCAAACTTGCTTAACTTTTCTTGTTTGATTCAGGGCTTAGTTTGAAATAACACTCTCCGGTGGATTACTAACCAAAACAGCCTTTGCATTTTCAACCAAAAACTGGAGTGTGAAATGCTTTGTGCTTTTTAGCTGATTTGCAACGACGTGTGGCTAGGAAAAAAATAAAATAAAAAAACACAGGTCTCCCAAGGATGCGCTTTTGGCTCTGAACTTTTCTTTGCGGGAGAAAAACTACCAAGGTCTCAGGGGCGCAGTCGGAAACCACTTACCCGATCCTTCATCCTCCAGCTCTGGGCTAAGGATTTGGAGCCTTCAATTTTCTCGCAGTGCCTCTTCTTCATAAAAGCCAAAGGCAGGTTCCAGTCTGTCAGGTCGGCCTCATCTTCCTCGCCGAGCCCCAGAAGGGGCGACTGCAGCATTTCGGACTCCATCAGGGGCGGTGGGGGTGGGGGAGTCCTGGGCAGCAAGCGCTCGAGAACCTCCAGCCTTAAACACTAGTGTGTTCCCAGAACTGGTGAAACAGGAACGAGGAGAAGGGGGCGTCGGCAGAGAAAGGAGCGGAGAGCGGGCGGAGCCCCTCACTCTGGCCCACCGTCCGCTGAAATCCTTCTTTCTCTCCGAGGGACGTCGGACGGGGTCGCGGGGGTGGGGGGCAGCCCAGGGAGCGCTGCCCAGGCGCACACGCCCCCAGACCCAAGCCCCTGGCTACTTCTGGGGCCGTCTGCTCCCGGAGGGGCTGCGAGCGGAGCTGTCAAAGGCGCGCGAGGCTTCAGGCCTCACGATGACCCTGCGCTCGGCCTCCGACGCCTCAGCCGATGCGAGGGCAGGCAGGCCGCCCGCTCCTGATGCCGGTTCGCCGACGGGGCTGAGGTCTCCGGACGCAAGGAGGAGGTTCAGAGCACCTCGGGGCTCCTCCAGCCACTTTCAGCCCTGCGGGTGCCGCACGCGCCGCAGCTGCTGCAACCAGAGCCAGGACCGGCCCATCGTGCTCGCCCGCAGCCGGCTCCTCAGCCCCGGGTCCGCGCGGCCTGGCCGGTCCTGACCTTCGGCCCCGTGGCTCTCTCCAGACTGAGAACGAGTCCTGAGAAACGGGTGACACGGAGCCGCGGAGGAAACAGGCAATGGGGGATTATTGGGTTTGGGGAGTTTTGCCCTCTGGTTTGAAGCTACAGTGAAACTCCTCTCATCAGCACATCAAGGAGGACGCCATATTGCTAAGACCCAGCATGCACCGCGACCTACGGCGTGGCTAACAGACCAAACTACCTCGGAGCGTTCCGGCCGCGCTTCCCGGGATGCGGTGGGAGCAGTTTTCGCCCCAACCCGGTTACCATGGTTACCACAATTCAGCTTTCCGGAGTTTATTGCGGTGCTTTCGCAGCATGGTATCAAAGTCAATCCTACAAATGAAACTATGTTAATTAACTTTGAAAAAATCTTTTTGTAATTACAAATCCTCATGCTTCTGAAATTAAAGGAATTGACCCCTTTGTTGTTTTCTTTCAGATTTTGAAAAGGCAGGAAAAGCTTCAGAAAGACCCATGGATAATATTACAAAAGAAGATAGGATTTTTTTGCCTGGGGGGGGGGGGGAGTGGTTTGTGTTCGTGTAGTATCCTTCACAGAATCAGCTTTTCAGGGAACACCAAGAGAAAAAAATAATTTCAACGATTTTTTTTGTTTAATCTATCTTATACTTTCTGAACAGTTTATTCCTATTTTGAGATAGCTTCACGTGCAAACAACGAAAAGCTACAGATTACTACGCGTGGAGGTACGCCTCCTGCGTTAGTTTCTTTCTCTGCTTAGGTTTAGCAGACATTGCTCATTTAGGGAACGTAACACCCAACCAGCGTGCAGAGCCTGCCTTCAATCAATGTCAGATCTAGTGAGTCAGACAGTAACCTCTAGAGGAAGCCCAGCAGGGTCAAGGGGTTCCTCTCCCTCCTTTCACTGGGCTTTGGTGTCGGGTGCACCTGGGCACCTGAATATGTCCCTCAGCTGTATCACTTTCCATCTCTGTGGCCTGGTCAGTCCCTTTACTGAGCTCAATCTTAGTTTCCCAGCTATAACAAGGGGATAATAACACCCATCTTGAAGGATAACATTAACCTGTGAAGGTGCCTAGTCTAGCATGAGTGCCCAATACAATGCTAGCAATGACCATTGTATAGGTAGAGTGAAATCTAGGCGCCCTGGGTGCCTTATTAATTTAAAACCTCAGGTTGGGCTCTAGAAGATACCATTTTTCAGTGGGGCTTCCCGGGGGCTTTGACACAATGTGGCGATCCACATCCCTAGGGAGGTTGTGTTACTTCCAACTTCCCAGTGAACAGTGCAATCCCAGATCTTTCTCACCTGGCACATAGCAAGTGTTTAGTAAAAGTTCTTGGATTAAATCATTGTCATTTCAAACATTCATTCGGTTCTTACATCTCTGTGAGCCCAGTCCTCCCATTACAACCCAGGGCAAAGTCACCAAAACACATCAAAGCTTTCCTTTTCCCTGTGCTCTGTGTTGGCAAAACATGCCCCAGTCACCAGCAGAGGCTTCGGGACTGCGAGGTGCTGAGAAGCCCCTGTTCTTGAAACCAGAGGGCAACCGAGTCCGGGGCTCGTGCTGCCTGCACCGCTCAGCCAATAGACCGACACAGGAGTTGGGTTGTAGAATAAGCATTTATGATCAGTGCACTGGTGATCTGAGAAGGCAGCAGGTTAACACCTCCAAAAACTGGCTTCACATTCTCAGACCGGCTTAGGTAATTAAGGGAAAATCTGGGCATTCCTCCAGAGGCGATGTGACTGTTCGCGGGTCTTGCATGGAGCCTTCCCTCTGGCCACATGATTCACTGGTGGTGTCAGCAACCCGGAACAACGATGGGAGTAGCCTGCAAAGAATGCCCCATAGAGATTGTGATCAATAAACCTAAGGGTAGTAATCATAAGTTTCAGAGTAATTTTCTAAAGCAAGGAAGTGGGTGGGACAGGGGACTATCTATTACTAAACTATATCAAGGAAAAGTGAGGCCAGAGCTGAGTGAGGCCTCTACTGTGGGGGTCCCAACCGGGCCCTGCTTCAACTCACCTGAACGCAGCATCACAACTCTAGCTGCTGCCTTGTCCCCTGCAGCACGCGACAGTGACGGGCCGCAGATAGTGCTCCTCCAGGCACTCTTGGAGGAAGCCGCGGCTACAGAAAAGCAGCTGCATTCAACTGCTCACCCCTAACTAGCTCTGTGACCTGGGAAAACCCACTGAATCTGTGTGAGACTCAGTTTCCTCACCTGTACAGTGTGTGTCGCCTTGGGAAATCCACTCACCTTGTCTGAGTCTCAACGAAGGCAGTAAAGGAGGCCGTGGCACCCACACCTGGCAGGTCGTCAGGATCACCAGGGAAACTGTTTTAAAATGAAGATGCCGGAGTCCCATCCTAGATGCACTGAACCACAGAGAGAGAGAAGAAAGGATTCAGCCTCTGTATTTTTTAATCAAGTAACCCTGTTGATAGCTTAACATGAGCCACAGGTGGGGGGTATTGGACACTATTCTAAGCACACCAGGCAACACTGTCCTCCAGTGAGTCTATTCCAGCCGACTGATGGGCCCTCAATAAATACCGGTGGTGCCAAAAATGTGTGTGCACATGACTCGCATTCATCTTCTGTTATCAGTATATATTGAGTATTACAATTTTAATACAGTTTTTTCCTTCCTTAAAATGTGTATACATTGTTTTGGCCCCTCTGCATGTGTACTCAGTAAGTAAATGTTATGAAGCAATTGTCCAATTTTCCATCTAACATGTCACAGCAGGACTCCCCGTCTACGGTTCTACAAGTGTGACCCCAGAACCAAGAGGCCATCTGGGGCCCATGTCCTGAACTGAGGGTCAGGACATACGTTCTGGTCCCCAGCCCACCACTAATTCCTGCAGCCATCAGCAAAGATGCTGCCCTTCCTGTCCTCGGTCCCCACGTCGGTGACATGGGTGACATAAAGAAAGTAAATCTCTAACGGCACTACAGGTCAAAATTCTGTGATTCGTGTACAAACCAAAAAGGGGCTGGTGACAGCCCAGCTCCCAGCCCGAAGGTGTAAGAATGGGCTTGAGTCATTTCATAGCATCGTGACATTTAAAAGCAATCTCGTTCGGATGTGTCATGGGTGACTCCATTCAAGTCCCAGATAAGCACTGGAAGTGTGGCTCCAGGTTTCCGGATGGCAGTGAGCAGCTCTGACTAATGGCAGGCCGGAAATTCACAGGCTAATCTTTCTCACCTAGGTGATCTTATTACCACGGTGTATGATGGGCTGGCCACTTGGGCCTGCAGTTCCAATTTCCAGTGTCTCCAATTCTTCACAAGCAAGAACATCACCTGCTTTCCACAAAGCCTCTAAACAAGACAGTTTAATCTTAAGAACAAGTGAACCTCAAATAATGCACAGAACCTGATCTCATACAAGCTATGAAAGTGGGGAGGGTGTTGATGATGCTCTGCTGACGGCCAGCATCAGGCTACCGATGAGGAACTGGGGGAGGCGCCGATCTGAACTGGCAGAACAACCCTCGACCTGCCTGTGCAGCATGTGAAGGTGACCAGGTGACCCCTCCCAGCCTAACTCGGGCTACTTGGCAACTAGAAGCCAAAGATACAGCAACGTGAGCAGAGAAAAAATTTACAAACCTGAGTGTGCTGGACAAACACAACAGAAGTCAAGGGAAATATGGGGGGGGGGCGAGGTAGGGGGGCAGGTGAATAAGCACCTGGGGTACTGTATGTAGCGCGTTGCCCAGGGAGAATGGAGGAGGCTGGGTCTTCACAGCTTCCAAGCTCAGCTGTTGGGATCTAATCTTTTCTCCAAGCACCAGACCCTGGCAGCCCAGGCGAGGCACTGCGTTTGCCCGCAGGACAAGCGCGTTCTGCCCTCCAATGCTGCGGTTTCTCCACTAAATCAATCAAGGGCATTGAATGTGTCCTGTCATCAAGAATCAGTAGCGACACTGGAGGCCAAGCGACGAGAAAGCCGGGTGCTTCGCTGAGCTCTTGTTTTCCACATGGGAGAGCAGCCGACTCCTGTCCTTTCTGGGGAAATCAGTGCTTAGCCTAAAAGAAACCAAAATAGATATAGAGCACTTTGCTTTTTCTGACCATCATTACAATGTTTTTAGCAAAATCCAAGCCACCTCCCTCTGCAGATCAGATGTCTTGTTGACAGGGACGTGAAGAGAGGGACAAGGGGAAGGTGCCACCCCAGGTGGCCCTCCAGCCTCCGCAGGAAACGCAAGGCTGCAGGAGCCGAGAAGCCCAGGGAGTGTGGCCCTCTCCACCCAGTTCACCATCGAAAAATTGTGGTATTTCTGTATGGGATTTCACTCCCTCCGGTATAACTTCCTATTTTACTCACATTGTTTATACTGAGCAAGTACGGTTTTGATAAGCAGAAACTGATATTCCGTCCTAAAAAGGGGGCGAGCCCTGAGCAGCATGGGGCTATGGTAAAAAGTGCCTCTTGTTGAATGGGCGTCACCCACTGCCCACATTTCTGCTTTCAGAACTGAGAACTTCTGCACAGCCTCAGCCTTAAAGAGCCAGCCACAGACAGAGCCTAGAAGGAAATGCACAAGGCAAAGGAACAGAAGAGGGTCCTTAACACCAATGTGACCTCGCTGCCCAGCGGGTCCTTCCCCCTGGGGGCTGAAAAGCCTGCCTGGGAACCTGGGCTCTGGGGCAGGTGAGGCCCAGTGGGCCTGGCTTCCGACACCGCAGCCCAGTCAGGTCAGTCTCGATGGCCCGGCGCGCCCAGCTCCAAGCCTTTCCTGAGACCACTGTTCACGGCCCTTGAGAATTCCTTGTGGAGGAGGGGGCGAAGGCCAGTGTCTCTCCCGGGTCACAGGTTCCATCAGCATGAGGACCTGCTTTCCTCCCCCCAGGAGCCTGGTGGTAGAACCCCGAGATGTGGTCTGTGCCCTAGGCAGACCGAGCGTCTGAAAAAACAAAAAAAGGAAACCTTTCATGATAGAGACTATGCTGAGAAAATTTGTTATCCAATAAAAAACATGCAAACCGAATCTTATAACCTTTTATTTGGGTAGTATTGCCTACAATAAGATTCTACCTTTATGAGAATATAAACCATATAACCAACCATCTCTTTTTAAAGTCTTTTAAAACTCCCCATTTGATATTTTATGTAATAGTCACATCTTAGCAGTGTTTCTCAGGTCCTCAGCAAACCCGGGTCCTGGGGGAGCCGCAGCTAACCCAACCGTCACCGCTGCCTCTGATGGGGGATTAGGGCAGATGTCTGTAACTAAAATATAATATTATAATCCCGCTCGTGAGTGTTTCTGGTGAGCCAAGCTCTCTCCCTGAGAGCTACTCATTTAATCCTCCTCATATCCTCATTTAAGGCTCCCTCTTTTAGATCCGTTTTGCCAGTACGGAAATTGAGACACTGTGCGGTGAAATGTAATCGCTTCCTGAAGATCTCTCTGCTGGCCAGGGCTGGACGGGAGTCCAACCAGCACAGGCTGCGGCTGGCCCGGGGAGCCCACAGCACCTGCCCAGGCCCCGCCGGGAGTCACACAGACCTGGGTTCAAAGCCCGGGGACCCTGGGAGAGGCGCTGACTGCACCCCAGCCCCAATCCGATGTGTGACATAGAGAAGCTGATGGTTTCTGTTTCTTAGGGATGTTCTGAGTAGTAAGTGAGCTAATGCCAGGCCCACAGCACACTCCGTGAGGGCTACCTGTTATCATCAACAAACCGCTCTCAGGAATAAACTCCATCTGGGTTGATTAAAAGGGCTTCATGGGAAACACAGCATGGGTACCTGCGCCTCAATAATGGATTTCCTCGTTTTGAATCATTTGAATTGTTTTTCTAAGTGAAAATCTTACTGGGCGGTGGGAGAGGACTGTAAGAACATGATGTCTCGTTTTTTTCTCAGGAGATGTCAGTGGATAAGGCCGGAAACTGATTTTTAAAAAACAAAGGGAGACGCTGTAAAAACGCCCTATGGAAATGTGGAGGTGAAGATGAGAAGAAACGGCCAAACCAAACCATGGACCAGCTGCCCTGGGGGCGGAGGTGACGTGGGGTGGGGGCCAGGTACCACCCTCCCTGAATTATAACCCCCGGAATTTTATTTGACATCTTAAACAGCATCACATGGTACTTTGACAACTTTTCTTAAATTTAAAAACATAAAAGTAATAAGTAGTTGCAGGAGGAAATTGGAAAATGTCAAAAAGAATCACGAAAAAAAATGAAAGTTACCCGTCAGCCCAAAGCCCAGAGTCACCACGGCTTTCTCATTTTGTGGGTTTCCTTTCGGCCTTTTCTTCCTGGCATATACATATATTTAAATTTCTGTTGGCTTTTTACATGAAAAAGATCACATTAGTCTGAAACAGTTTGAAAATAAGAAAAAGAGCAAAGAAACACTTTTCATTCCATTGCCCAAATACAGCCGCCATTCATATTTCTTTGTATAGCCGTCTGCTATATATTATAAATTTGTATTACAAATAGACATACCTATTTGTATAGTTTGTGCAAAAGAAAAAAAGAAGAATGATTCCATTTTATGTAAACAACACTATTTAATGAAACATTTCCTCCTGTGACTTGCCCTTTCCACTTGCGGCAGGAATGTTTCCCGGGTCCCATTTGCCAGCAGTGTCCCACTCCACACCATCGGCGGCTGCATGTCCCCTCGGGACAGACAGGAAGTGGGCCCTGTGGAGGGGCAGCCGGTGGACTCGGTTCATTATCATTATCATTACGTTACTGGGGGCACAGCCCTGAGACTGATGCATGAAGCCCTGACCTTCACCTGGTTTAATGGCATCCGACAGGCTCCCCCTTAGGCTGCAAACACCCTCCATTCATTCCCAAAAACGTCCTGAGGGACCTTAACGCAGCAAGCAGAGCTTCTGGGAGGCTGCTCAGTGTTGGGCTTGGCGCTGGTGAAAGTAATGATTGTGACAACGACAGCCGACACTTCGCGTGCTCTATGTAGCGGCCCCTGTTCTAAGCACACACAGATTAACTCAATACTCGCACCACGCCTGTGGCCCCCGTTTTACAGGTAAGGAAGTTGAGGCACCCGCAGATTAAGTAACTTGCCCAAGGTTGCACAGCTAACAAGTCATGGAACCAGGATTCAAACCAGCACGTTGAGTCCAGGGCAGAGGTCCCCAAATTGTGCCGAACCTCAGAAACACCCCGGGTCTCGTAAGGCCCACCCCCAGCTTGTACCTGGCCCGTTAGGATGCCCATGGGTGGCAGCCGGACAGCAGCCTGGCAGCCTCGGGGAAGTGTGGGACCCACAGCATCGAGGCCTGCGCTCTAGCCCACTGTGTGAGAGGCACCCCGGGTTAGTGTCCAGCCTGCCAGAGCTGGCGTGGAGGCATCAGAGGTTCCTGAAAAGCGAGCTTCGGTCAAGTCTTGGACAGTGTGCCGTTGTGGGGACTCATCCAGGCTGTGTGGTCCATGCTTAGCTGTGGGTGGGGGGCTGGGTCCAAGCTGGGCATGAGCTGATCAGAGAGGGCTCACGGAGGGCTGGGTTAGGTCTCCCCGGGGTGACCATATGGCCTGGTGTGCTGGGGCAGCCCTGGTTCTCACCTTCTGCCCTGAAGCACTATCAACAGTGTCCTCTTACGGTCTCAGAAATGTCCTGGCTCAGATGACGACCTACAGTCACTCCACCTTTCTCACACTCTCGTGGGACCCTCCACTTTTTATCCCTTGCACACATCACAGCTCCACTCAGACATGTGATTGTTTGAACGTCCCTGTCCCCAACCAGAGAGAAGGTCCATGAGGACCGGGGCATGTCTTCTCATTCTGTCGCGCACACAGCAGAGTCTGGGAGAGCGGCAGACCACAGCGATGGCCAACTGACTCAGAGGAGCAGGCCCCAAGGAGCCCCAGCGGGCAGCAGAAGAGGGTCAGGGAGTAGTCCAGGCGGCTCAGGCTGCCCTGGCCGTGTGAGCGTCAGGACACAGGCACCCTGGTCACACCTTGGGGCCACCGCAGTGACAGCTGACCCTTTGGAGGACTAAGCAGTGGGGGAGGGGCAGGCCTGCGGACACACCCCACACACACGCCCCCCAGAAGAACGGCTGCCCAAAGACTTAAAAGACCAAGGCTTGGGGCCTGCCGACCAGGATTTGAAAGTGACTTTATTTTAAACCCCCAAGTGAGTGAAACAGGCAGGAGACACTCCCCCCTTCCCCGCCCATGAATCTGTATTTTATGCATCTCTGATTATTCCCTTATTTTAGCCAAGTTACGCTAAGTGCTGGACACCTCCAACCTCAACAGAGGCCGTCGTTCCCCACACAACAGTTCAATGCAGGTGTTGGGGTGACCTTGGGAGCACAGGCCCTTTCCACCCCCACCACCCCCAGGGTCCCACCACCCCCAGGGCCCCAGGGGCCTCTGCTAGGTGTCTTGCTCCCAGCCTGAGGGAGCAGCTGGACCACCGACTGCATTCCATTGGCCAGCCTCGGTCACATGCCATAGCTAACTGCAAGGGAGCCTGATGAATGCAGTCAGGCGCCCAGGAGGCAATGGAAACACATTTGATAAATAAGGAGCTACAAGGTTTCTCCTTATTACAGAAATGAAAGTAAGGAGTCCAAAAAAGGCTGTACTAATGTCCTGGGGCTGCCATAACAGAGCGCCACAGACTAGGTGGCTTACAATAACAGAAATGTACTGTTTCCTAGCTCTGGGGGTCAGGAGCCTCAAACAAAGGTGTTGGCAGGCAGCGTTTCCTCTGAAGGTCTAGGGGAGACCGTCCCAGGCCTTCCTGTTTGCTTCTGGTGTCACCTGTGGCCTCTCTCGGCCCGCAGCACCTAACTCCACCTCTGCCTCTGTCATCACATGGCGTCCTCCCTGTGTGTCTTCTTAGAAGGACACCAATTATACTGGATTAGGGACCTACCCTAGCTCAACTTACATCTGCAAAGGCCTTATTTCTAAATAAGGTCCCCTTCACCATACAGGGCGTAGGACTGGGACATACATCTCTGGGGAGCACAGTTCAACCCATGAGGAACAAAGGGCATGATCTTTGAAAGGTCCCTGAGGCA